CTGGCAGGTGGGCAGTAAGGGGTGCCCAGGCCGGCGGGCGGGGGGGGGGGGCAGTTAGGGGCGACCAGGCAGGCAGGCAGGTGAGCAATTAGGAGCCAGCGGTCCAGGATTGTGAGGGATGTCCGACTGCCCTCACAGGGATCGGGCCTAAACTGGCAGTCAGACATCCCCCGAGGGGTCCCAGATTGGAGAGGGTGCAGGCTGGGCTGAGGGGACCTCCCCCCCTTGTGCATGAATTTGTGCACTGGGCCTCTAGTATATAATATATAGATATTTATATCTATTTTTATAGATATCTACACTAATAAAAGAGAAACATGCAAATTAACCATCACTCTGCCACGCTGCTACACCCACCAGCCAATCAGGAGCGAGTATGCAAATTAACCCAACTAAGATGATGGTGTCCACAGAGCTGGAGGAGCAGGAGGCTTGGGTTGCCCCTGGCGATGGAGGAAGCCAAGCTTCCCGCCTGCCCTGTCCGAACCTGGGCTCTGCTTAAGGCTACAAAGTTTCAATTATAGAAGATAAATAAATCCCAGATACCTGCTTCCAGCCCGCCCTGGCCTCCGCTCAAGGAGGTGCTGAAAAAAAAAAAGATAAAAAGGAGAGGCTGGGAGCTTGGGTTGCCGAGGGGCGTGGCCACCCTGAAAACAGCCCTCAGCCCCTCACCCAGGCTGGCCAGGCACCCCAGCGGGACCCCCACCCTGATCTGGGACACTCTTCAGGGCAAACCAGCCGGCCCCCACCCGTGCACCAGGCCTCTATCTATACTAATAAAAGGGTAATATGCTAATTAGACTGGGAGACCTTCCAGACGTTCTTCTGGACAAAGCCATGGTGGCGGGGCCGAGGTAGAGGCGGTTAGAGGCCAAGGGGGAGGGCAGTTGTGGGTGATCAGGCTGGTGGGGGGCGGGGCCATTGGGGGTAAGCAGACCAGCAGGCGGGCCTGTTGGGGGTGAGCAGGCCATCAGTGGGGGTCAGTTGGAGGTGATCAGGACAGCGGGTGGGTGGGCAATTTTGGTAGTGAGCACGGGCAGCCAGGAGGGCAGTTTGGGGGCAAGCCGGCCCAGTGGGGAGGCAAAGTTGCCAGCAAGGGGGGGTAGTTGGAGTTGAGCACACTGGCACGGGGGAGAGTTGGAGGTAATAAGGCTGGCAAGGAGGCATTTGGGGGCGAGCAGGCAGGCGGCGGAGGGCAGTTGGGGGTAAGCAGGCTGGCAGGCAGAGTGGCTAGGGACAATCAGGCAGGCAGGCAGGTGAGTGGTTAGGAGCCAGCAGTCCCAGATTGTGAGAGGGACGTCCAACTGCCAGTTTAGGCCCAATCCCTGTAAACTGGCAGTAGGACATCCTTCGAGGGGTCCTAGATTGGAGAGGGTGCAGGCTGGGCTGAGGGACACCCTACCCCCCATGCACTGGGCCACTAGTATCTTTATAAAGACACTAGAGGCCCAGTACATGAATTCGTGCACAGGGTGGGGGTGTCCCTCAGCCTGGCCAGTGATCGAGGCCTATCAGGGGACCGGTTGGCCAGGGGGAGGGACCCCGGGAGGTTGGCCAGCTGGTCCCCGATCGGGGCCTATCAGGGGGCCGGTCAGCAGGGGATAGGGATCATGGGAGGTTGGCTGGCCAGCCCCCCAATTGGGG